ATCTATTACGGTAGTTTAACTTCTCTATTTTTCTGCGAGGAAAGCTTCACATCTCTGTGGAATCAAGTTACGAGTGATTCGACCTTTAACCTCAATTTTTAGCCGGCGGTATGATATAAACTGAAAATTGCTTGCCGTGTCAGATAGGATTCTTTTACCATTTGAGACTGAGAAGTTTGCCGTATTGATTATCCTTAAAGCATAGTTCTAACATCATCGCGAGGCCAAGTTTTAATGGGGATCACCGGGTTGAGTATAACAACTTTTAGAAACCGGCAAGTTTATAAAAGATCTCAATGTCTGTGTATTTAATTTTTTTTTCAGGAGTTTGAGGAAAATAATTTTTAAAAAATCCCGAGGGCTAATTACATTTTCTTACCTAGGCTACGCCGCGTTAACATTTCATTTGAAGTTGCGCAAAATGTATTTTAAATCAAATTCGAAATCTCTTTTACAGTTCGGGTTTTATTCAGCGAAACTCCATTAGAAATTTGCATGTATTACGTAAGCAACTGCGAAAAAATTCTGAATATATCTGTTGTCCGGTGACGTAGCGGAAGACAATGGAATTATTTAAATTTTGAGTCTCAGAAATTCAAGGGCCATTCCATTCGTATCGTATCGAATACTAAAATGAACGGCTGCTTAATATCTTTATTCATTTATGGACAATATAGAGTAGGATCAGACAAAGCCAGTATACTCACTCTCTAGCGGCTTGTGGTATTCTACTAAATTGCAATAGTAACAACTAGTGATGTAATGCTTGCAATGTTTCACATATATTTTAATCCTTCTATATTATCCTCAAAGTTTATAAACTATCTACAGAGTTTTTAAATTGGATATGTAGCTAATAAAGTAAACACTAACCCTATAGAATAGAAAATTAATTGACTCTTTCATTCTTGGCAAAATAAACCAGCACAGGTTTTCTTCATCCATTTCATTTTTTATATATATTAAAAAAACTCTGTATTCTTAGGCATACATTGAAGCCTAGAAAAACGACGGCAGTCTCAATAACACTTTTTATACATGATTTACCAAAGAAAATTCAATATTCACAGCACAATTGACAATTTAAAAAAATAAAAATGAAATAATCCCTAATATACCGAGCTAATTTTTTTAAGTATAAAGTTATTCTCATTCAAAAACAAGCGATCTAACTACATTTTTGATGTTATTGTTTTCAGTGACAGGGCAACATAGTCAATCTAAATCCCCCTTTTATTCAGAATCTGACGTGAAGTATTTTTAATAATACTTTTTACAGTACCTATCACCCAACGTCAGCCGAACACAATTTCCTTGTCTAAATGGGATTCGAATAAATATACCCACCCTCGATGTGGCGCGATAGGCACTTTTGCATCCCACGTCAATCAATCAAAAACTACAAATTGCGAAGAAGATAAGCAAAACAAAACAATGGTTAACCGTTACAAAAGAGAAAACACCAATCATACAAACATTGACACATATGTCGTTCAAACAAAATTAATATTTAATGGGTTATATTATTGAGTTTCTATTATCGAATATTTAACTATGGCTAACGCGTCGCAAATGACTACCCAATGCGAACGCAAACGTGAATTGTAATTTATATTGTTATACTCTGCCAGCTTCAGATAAATATAAATGTTTTCTTTACCCTAAATTCCAGTTCTTTAATTTAGATCATTTTTTATTATTGGTACGCCTTTGGGTTTTCTCTTCAGGCTGCATACAAATTTACGGCCAGTGAATAGCCGTATCGCAACATGAACTCCGTATTCTTATTGATAGTGGTGTGTGCTTACGGATATCAAATTACCGGTAAGTTTTTAACCGTTCCATTTAAGAATACAAAAATATTATTGCCAAATTCAAATAATTGAAAATCCAATTTAATAAAATCTACAGCACGCTATAAAAAAATCCTCATTGCAAGATGAACCGATCCACACAATATTCTGATAAATTTTCATCGGTAATAATTCAAAAAAATAAAATAAAATCGAACATATTTACAGTCTTACACATTTTAAAAATGTTAAACAATAATATTAGGTTTAAGTCACTGAGTCCAGAAGCTACAAAATACATTTATCTCAGAAATAATAGACAAGTATAATATTAATAATATTAATATTAATCCCCACCTAACAGCTTTCAGGTATTATAAACAAAAATTGAGCCTACCTAGGACTACAATGACCAGAATGAATATCAGTAAAGTCTAATGGTTTCTATAATAGGACCTGTTTTAGATTTTTAGTAAATACTTTTCTATTAGCAATTTCTTCTTGATTTGACGGTAGAAGCCATAAGTAATTGTACTTCCAGCATATAACGGTGATCTATAAACTTCTATGGGTTTTGTCCGACCAAGTTAAAATAAATGTTTGATACTTGTTATATACCTAATTGAGGATTGACGTATTTATTTATGTCTCTGTAGATTGCTCACGTTTTTCAGTAAAGAACGACAAACTTGTTACTTACTCCGCGGTTGATTATCAATTTGTTTTAATTTCATGAACTTGAACTAGAAGTGATTTTTAACATGTACTAAAAAATGTGTGTCTATTTATTTGCATTTCGCGAAGAACTGGGCTGAAATATAATTTCGAAAACTGTCAAATCAATATTTTTATTTGTGTTTATTACTTAAATTAAAGATTAAAGATACTACAAAAATGAGAATATTGAATTGAACTAAAGATGTCAGAAAAAGTCACAAAGTAGATTTAGAGTTAAAAATACTAATGTCGGTAGCGGTATAGGTAATACAAAACTAAAAACAATTAAAATTTGATTTGAAATTAAAAAATATATATTTAAGAACGAGGTTTATCAAATTATTAGACTGTTTTATTGAAATTGAATAGGAATACTCAATTTTATTATTTAGATAAAAGAAAGCAAACATTTACATGAAAAATATAAACCGAACTGAAAAATGTGGGAAAAAGTTTCCAAATTGGATCTACTTGAACTTTTTTTGAACTCATCCAAGAGTTTTAATTATTAAGTTTGCCGACGATAATAAAGCTATATATTTAGGTATAACATTTGCCTCCAGATTTTCGCATTAACGATTACGAAGTTGGTAGATGTGAAGTTTCAAAATTCGCTACGTCTAAAATTTGCATACGCTTTAGGAGAATTTTTGGGTCTACTCTAATTAAATCCGACATCGGCGTCGTTGGGTAAAAATAATTTGGCGGGTTACTACGAATAAGTGAGTGGATGAATGTAAATAATATTCCGCTACTGACCCAACTCAGCGTGTTGTATAATTTTGTTTAAGGAAAATCCGATACCGGCTGACATTGGTAAGTCGAGGCAATTATTTCGTTGGCCTGACAAGATGACTCCTCAAAAATCTTAATTAACAAACAATTTCACCAAACATATACTTTGAAATGTTGCACATTGTTCGAAATTCTTGCGGTTTCATTTTAATTTTTGATAATTTTATCGGAAATTACTTGGACTTCAAGTTATAGTTTAGTGTACTTTGAAGATACTTGTGTGATTGAGAAATAATATCAATTTTCTTGTATATCTATAATAAAGTACTTTTGTCCCAATTTAAACGGCGTTAAATATTTAACAAGATTGCTATTGAAAAATCGTAGCTGGGCGGGGCAAGTTCGTAGCGCGAAGCAGATTTGTATTTTGAAAAGAAGCCCCTTGTGGTTTCTTGTCGTAGACAGACGCGTTGCTCCTGCGGACCACTATGGAGCTTTTGCAAAATCGATGTAATTTTATTGTGCATACACTCTGTATAAACTTGCACGTCTCGCTGAACTTCAAAGTTACGGCAAACTTTGGTAAATATTAAAATTGCTTACAAATAATAGCGATTTCCAATGATATTTTTTCAAATATTTCGGGCACTCTGTATGACAGAAGAAAGCTGGAAACCTCTCTCGACACGGTTTACGATAATGTTCAAATCAAATTATTGCTTCTTTAACAGTTTTTAATTTATCTCCAATAATTTACCCACAAAACAGGAATTTTTTATGATATTTTAGATTTTTTGCCCATACAAGACACACACTGTGTATAATTCAAAGAATGTTCGAAATAGAGGTTATAGCCCTGGATCTCCCACATTTTCTGGTATATGATTTTGTCCAATAGAGTAAGTCGTATTCAATAAAATAGTTGTTTTCTGAAACCATGCAGTACGTGGTAATAGTAAATGACGTCATCGCGTCTAGATTGAGGGCGAGAAATGGTGATTTTCATTTGGATTTTTTCAAATATCTCGACCAGCGTATGTGATAGACGAAAACCGTAAATACAAAAATTGTATATTCCACAAATTTTGATTTACGGCAAATAATTTATTCTGGAAAAGAACAAATTTCAGAGTCTTTTATATTTTTGCCTATAATGAAAAACCCTGCAAGTAATCGAAAAAATGCTTAAAATTAAAGTTATAGTACCGGATATTCAAGAATTTTGTCAATCGGGTTAATAGTTTTTGAGGAAATATATTTTTTTCTGGATGTCAAAATAACAAAAAAAAAAATTCAAAAATTAAAAAAATATTTTGTGAAATATTATTTATAATTTATATTGTTTAAATGCGGACGCGGACCTTTACTTCGCTGCTAAGTTTGAAGTTGATATGTGCAAATGTTCTACCAGTTTGTTCGATATTAATTTTCGGACATGGTGCTCATTTTAACTTGCAGATTTCGGATTTTTAAGTTTTTGGTTACTTGGTTTCATTATTTTTAAATATTTTTATGTATTTTATTGTTTACAAAATTTCGGTTTGGTTTTGGTGGCTAATATAGGATAAATAGACTTAATTGTAACTTTTTTTAGTAATAATTTTATTTATCAAAGAATTATCGCTATTATTGTGAGAAGATATTTGTTTTATAAAAGTCACCTCAGATCAGTTAAATATTTAACTGTACATTTACAGTTATTATATTTCAGTGTCGAAATATTGGTGACGAAATTTTTAAATTGCAGATGTCGATATGCCTTCCGAGAATATCTATTACGACGTGAAGTCACGACATTTCTTTCGATTGTCTTCCATCGAGAATGTGCTGATAAATAAAAAGATGAATGGGAACGAAAATCAAATGTGGAATCTCAAGAGCAGCGTCGCGAATTCGGCCCAACAAGGCAGTAAAAGTGAAGTTAGACGTCTAGCATTCAGAAGTAATGGATGCACGTGCCAACAACTTACTTGTGGGTGTTGCCTCGGAATTAACCTAAATCAGTTTCAGTTTAACAGGGAAGGTGAGTTAACTAATTATACAGGCGCTGTTTGGTTGTCAGAATCGCTGTCTGCGTGTAAAATGAAGCCCTAGGTCGGTATAAAACTTGCCGAAATTTATAGCGTATCAAGACGGAAGTAGATTAATCGGAAATTAAAATTAAACGTATATTCAACAGTCGATCGATACGCTTGTTGTAAGCTTTAATTAACAGTGATAGACTATTGTCGTAATTAGAATGGATAAATGAGCAAAATTGACAGTAATATAAATTGAATCGAATAGTGGCTTTGGGAGTTTTGATTGGCTTTAATATAATAATGGTTGGTGCTCCACCTAAAGCAGATTTCGATCTCGAGTAGCACTTACGACCCCTTGCCAAACCCTTTGTCAATAATGTGTTTAACACGGTCAATGCTTATTTGTAATGCTGTCAACATATCTTTCACCTACAGAAACGGACTAATATTGGCGGTCTCTTTGTGAAAATTATATCTCGAAAGTCCAGCGGCCGTAGCGAGGACAAAATTTATTCCAATCAGTTGTCGTAAACAAAAACAAACAAGTTAAAGTTACTTAAAATACGTCATACCGCGACATACAAAATCACTTCCAAGGGATGGAACGTTAACTAGAATCTCTACTTACTAATTATATAAGACAAGGTTATTACCCGTATTTAGCAAACATACTTGAGTGTTTAGCTCGGCGTGGCTGGTTTTGTACAGGAATATCACCTTAAAATGAACGAAGACTTTAACGCTGTATAGCGACACTTTATGATTAAACAGATAAAGCAAGGGAGCAATCTCGTTTAGAAATAAAATTTCCCTACAGTTATGCTTCTTCCAAGGCCAGCAAGATGCCTATAGAACGGATATCAAATCTGAGGAAGCGTAAAGGAATTTTAATTTGATATATTTTGATGAATTAGTTTATTGATTTTGTTTGTTATATAAGTAATTAATTTACTTATTCATTTTGGGAGTTAATTTTCAAAGAAGTAAAATGAGTGAGTTTCAAGTCAATTTTAATTTTAATTTCATTTTAATTGGCATTAAAAATGATACCATCTTGGGGGTGATGGCTTCATCTTTTTCTTCATCAAAGAAATACCACCTCCTCGCTGGATCTTCTTCCAACTGTTATATTGTTCTTTGCTATTTTTGGCAATCTTTCATCGTTCATCCTTCTTCTTCTGTTCTGACCAACTTTGCCACAGCTGGATTCCGCTATATTCCTTAAGGTTTTCATTTCTCATACTGTGGTATAGCGATTTTGTGGATCTCGATCTTGTCTTTACTGCATAAATCCTTGCTTTGCTCTCAGTGTTTATATTGTTTATATTTGTTTATATTTGTTCCTTCATATCCCTTTCAAATTTCCATCGCACCACATAAATTGATTGGTCTGTTCAAAGATTTTCGTATCGCTCTCTAATTTACATCTATCGAGTTTTTAGATGAAGTAACCATTATAATTAATATTTTTTGTAATGCTTTCCATTATAACATTGAAGATTAATGGGCTGATGGGAACCTCTTGTCTGATTAATGTTTAGTTCTTTAGCTAGTAACTGTCTAACGTTTACTACTTGGAGTGCATATTTTTTATACAAAATATAAAATTCTTTAGCAAAGAAATTTATATGATTATTTAAGGGCATTTTTTTAATTATCTGTTAAAATAGTTGCTAAAAGGTTGCTCCAAACAAAATTCAGTTGAAATTGAAAAGTGACACTAAACCAGTTTGAATTTATCAAAGAAATCTACATAATAATTGCTATTTTGTGTATAAATACCACGAATTTTCATATTTTCCCTATACTCTTGCTAGAGGGAAAATGAAGGACTATAGAAAACAGACTTCCTGTTACGAAGTAGACCCTAATTGGAAGTATGAGTTGTTAAGTCCTGCTGTAAGCCTTCGGGTTTTTGAGATTTAGACAAGTATAAAAGTAATTTACTAGGTCTCGTAAAAGTTCTCATAATCGACGCGCTTTGGAAAAATAATAAACTTTATATTCGACGTTCCTTAATTGCAATGAACTATTGTCGATTTTTGCAATCGCATTTTATTTCCCGGTACCAGACCGACATAATATGTTTTATAATAAATTTATGACGATTTACTACACGAAAAATAATATTCCCGGCTGGAAAAGGCTGACCGTTGTCGATTTAAAAGATTGATGCGAACAAACTGAACAAACCGTGTAAAACTGATTGGTGCGTTTTCAATGTTATTAATTACACTAGAAGCTCTGGATAAAGTTAATACCCTCATTTGTCAAAAAAATTAATAAATAAATCTGAATCGAAAATGTACAAAAAAATACAAAGCTCGTTCGGGGCCGACAACAAAGTAACACGTAGCTCGAGGCAAGATTAAATTACTTATATAATCGAGAGTTTGGCCTACATCCTCAAAATTAATTCCGTTACACTCGAACATTACCAAATTTTGCACCCGTTAACATATTAGACGAATACATTGATTAGTCTCGGTGTTAAAGCAAATTAAACGCCAGGCGATGAAAATTTAACAATTTCCGAAACGAAGAAACCGTTTTGTTAGAGTATTCTCTAATTAGAAAATTTTATTTTGGTTCCAATTTTCTTGTTTGAGTTTTCAATAGCAAAAATCATTTCCTGTACTAATTTATTGTCTAAAAGGCAACAACTTATTACCGTGAATCCGTTTTTTTAGTTTTTGTAGTTATTAAATACGTCATCGAGTTACCTGCATGGATTTCATCTTTCGCAACATTCTAAGAGATCTCCATTACGGAAGCTAAGAAAAATAAGATTTGATTCTGTCTGAAACAACATAACTGACTTTAAATCCCTCAAATACATTGTACAATGACATTGACAAGCTTGAAGATTGTCTTTACGTCGTATTCGATTGTTTTTTTAAAAGTTAAAAGACGCTTGGATAAAAACTTGATGGCCGGATACTTCCCATCGAGTAATCCCAAAATAGCGTTCACGCCAGAAAACATTCCCTTGTTCCCGATATAATATATTCTAAGGGGGAAGCAAACGTCTCTGGATCCATATCAACCGAAAACATGGCAAGTGCATCACGAAAAAAGGGGTCCTCTCCAATTTGTTCCACAAATTGCCGTTTATTGCTTTTCTACGTTGAGAATTTGGATCGGTGGGAAAAATGTTTTTGAGTTGGTCTCATGTTTCTCGCAATTTGGTGTGACCAGATAGCGAAAACCACTTGGGATCTAACAAAAGCAACAAACAAAAGATGACTTTTTGTTAAAATAATGTCAATTATTGCATTTTGAAATTGGTTGGGGTTTTTGGAGTAAAATTATAGGAGGTCTTTCACACAAATTTTTGTTCACAAGCAAGTTACAGGCTATTCTTCTTCTTCTTCTTATTCCTACGTTAAGTCTAATGACTTGTATTTAATGAGTAATATTTAATCTTATTTGTGATTCTGATGACTTGCCATCTCTTTTGTGGTCTTCCTCTTGATATTTCCCCCTCTGGTTTTCCATCTCTTGTGATCTTTGATAATCTGTGCTCTTCCATTCTCGTTACGTGTTGATTCCAATTTCTTCTCCTCTCTTCATCTTACTATATCTTGAATATTACATTGTTGCCGGATATTTTCGTTTCTTACATGGTCTCGTCTAGTCTTTCCTATTATGCATATTAATGTTTTCATTTCAGTTGTTCTTAGTGCCTGTTTTGTTTTCTTTGTATCATCTCTGGTTTCTATGGCATGCGTAAGTATTGGTCTAATAGATGTTTTATAGATTCTTGTTTTCGTTTTTATTCCTAGATGTTTATTTCTCCACACTATATCCCTTAATGCTGTGGCTGCTGCTTTCTTTACTTGGTATATCGTCTCTCCGTAAATATCTCGGTGGCTTGTCACATCTACTCCTAAGTATCTTGATGACATTACTTGCTTTATGATTGTCCCTTCTATCTCCAGCTTACATCTTATTGGTTCCTTAGAAACTGTCAGACATTCAGTTTTCTCTGTTTATATTACCATATTGTATTCTTTTGCGGTTAGTCTTTTTACTTTTTATATCATCTTGACCATTATAAGTTAAATAGAAACGGACTTAAGCTATCTCCTTGCCTTATTCCTGTGTTTACCTTTATTTCTTCAGATACCTTTCCCTCAGCTTTTATTTTAGTGGAACAGTTGTAATTGAGTTCTTCTATGATTCTAATTACTTTAGGAGATACATTTTTTTCTTTAAGTAAGTATAATATGTCATTAAGTCGTATTCTATCAAACGCTTTCGTTAGGTCCACGAAACACATGAGGATAGGGTTGTTGTATTCTATTGACTTTTCCACTAACTGGCGAATTATAAAGATGGCATCTGTTGTTGATCTGTTATCTCTAAAACCTTGCTGTTCTTCGCATATCGAAATTGTTGCTCTTCTGCTATGATTTTGGTGAAAATTTTCGATATTGTATCTAGCAATGATATTCCCCTATAGTGAATCTTACCCAATATTACTCTTTGATTGCTTTTATCCTTGCATTCACCCTGTTTCTTGTTGCTATATAGTTTGCGATCTTCTGATGTTTTGTTGCTTCTATATTTTAAGTATGCGTCGCTTTTTTCTTTGCATACGACTATTTTGACCATGGTTTGTTGACTTTGTTGTTATTTACATTCATCTTTCTTGTTCCAAGTGCATCTCTTGAAGCTGTTATTATGTTGTTTGTTATTTTTTTCCAACATTGTTCGTTATGTGTGTTATGTGTTTACAGGCTATTTAAAGTCGATAAAAATTGAATACGAAAAATTTTTGCAGCTTTTGATGATGTTCCAAAAAATAAAAAACTCAACCCTATATACTGCTAGTGTTACCGCAAAAAATTGAATGTCGTGGACAGACTACTACAGTTGCACCAACATTCGATCGGCGAAATTTCTAAAACTGAAAAAGTTATGGACAAAAAGGCACACATTTTACACCTTCAAACAAACCAGTGATCGGAGATACGGAACAGCGACTTTGTTTAATGTA